TAATTTTTGTACAAGGAATGAGGTAAGGCTTGAAGTTTTGTTCTCGAAGTTTTGTTTTGGGAATTTTTTTGTGCATTTTGTTTTTGATTTTTTCCTGCTTATAGATAGATATTCAGTTGTTCCAGGGCCATTTGTTAAAGACTATACTTTTGCCATTGAATTACCTTGGTCCTGTTTTTGAATGTTATTTTACCTTATATGCATGGGTTTCTTTCTGGACTCTATTCCATGGGTCTATTATGTATACACATATGTGGATTTATTTTTATTTTTACTACTGAGTACTAAAAGTGTACTTTTGATCTGAAAACATTTCTTTCTTTACTTTGGAAAATTCTTAATTATTATCTCTTTCAATGTTACTACTCTTTTATTCCCAATGTTGTCTATTTTTGGAAACCTTTTTTTGATGTTGGGGCCTCTGAAATCAGTCTTCAATATCTCTTAACTGCTCTTTTGTATAATTTTTCTCTTTGCTTTTTTGTGCTGGAACCTGGGTACATTGTTCAGTGAATTCTTCCAGTTTAATATTTCTTTCTTCAAGAAGATTATTAATTTAAGAGAAATGTTAATGTGAATTGATTAATATTTAATAATCAATTATAATGATTATTAAGGATATAATAAGGTTTACACTGTTACTGATTTTCAACTTTTAGATTTAACTTCAGAACAAAGCAAGAAGACAATTATAAGCACAGAACATAAATATTAACCTTGTAGGTTAGATCATTTGTACATTTGAAAACAGCTTTTTGTTCCCTTTAAATTATTCAGAATTTTACATTTGCAGACTTGTTTATCGTCTCTCAACTATTTCTTGGGTGTCCTAAATCTAATCCTTATGAATTGAGAGCACATTTGTGTAGCCTAGTAACATGGTGATGAATATGATGGCACAATTAAAGCTGCCTTAAACCTTCCATTGTCTTCCCACTGCAATTAGAATAAACTCCATTTTATAAAGGTCCTATATGATCTAGTCCTTAAAGGTCTCTTTGACCTTATCTCTTAATAGTCCTCAGTTTGCTTTAGCTACATTGATCATCTTTGTGACTTTTGAACCTGTCATACTCATTTCCAATTCATGATTTTTGAATTTACTCCTGCCCGACCTGGAGTGCTGTTCTTTTCAGAGCTTTACTGGCTGATTTCTTCTCTTCATTTAGGTTTGTTCTCAAATGTTTCTTTCTCTGAGGATTTTCCCTGACTCTCACGGCTAAAGAAGTATTCTCTCCCCTGCCCCCGTCAATTATTCACATTACCTTCCTTGTTGTATTTTCTTCAAAACATTTATCACTAACTTTACTAACTGAAATAGTTTGTTTGTCTTCCTTCATTAGGATATAAGCTCTATGAGGGCAAGAGTTTTATCTGTCTGGGTCAACTCTATATACCAACCTTTAGAACAAATGGTCTGGCATGTTGGAGAGGCTCAATTTAAAAACTGTGAGTTGGGGAGTAAATCAGTTGGGGTGATGTCACTAGCAAGCTTTTTATGTCATTTGGCGGAAAAGCACCTGGAGGAAAGGAGTCCTGAGAGAACACTTCTATTAATAAAAATGCTGTGCTTATTATTCCTGACTTCCTGTTCCCAGTGGGACTTGGAGACAAGAGAAAATACTATTTAGATCAGCTTAAGAGTGTTTCTGAGACCCAGTGTGTCTCTGGTCCCTGAGAAAGAAATACCATGCAGGTATTTCTTTCACTCAAGCAGGTCACTTGGGAAGTTTCTATAATTTCAGATCTTTGAAAGATCTTTTTCTTTTTATTATCTCTTTTAGTCACCTACTCTCATTCTGCAGTCTTCCTTATTTTTTCCTTTAAATTGTAGCCACCTGGGTTAACCCAGGTGCACTTTTGATTAGTTTAAATTTCTTTCTTATCCTATATAGATTTATCAAGAGGCAATGTAAACTTTAAGGCACTATATTACTGATTTGTATGGTGTTAATTGCATTCAACTTCTTTGAATTTTATTTTTATTAGTGTGTAATATACTAATAAAATTACAGGCCACAAACACAATGAAGTTTGATCTTTCATTTTGAAAATCTACTTATTTATTTATCTGTTTACCTACCTATTTATTTATTTTGGCTGCACTGGGTCTTGGTTGTGGCACACGGGATCTTTTATTTGCTGGCATGTGGACTTCTTAGCTGCGGCACGTGGACTCTTAGTTGCGACACACGGACTTCTTAATTGCGGCATGCGAACTCTTAGTTGCGGCATGCATGTGGGATCTAGTTCCCTGTCCAGGGATGGAACCCGGGCCCCCTGAATTGGGAGCACGGAGTCTTACCCACTGGACCACCAGGGAAGTCCCTGATCTTTCATTTTTTTAATGTGAAAGTTTATCTCAGCCTAAGAATTAACTTAGACAAAAATGTATTTAGAATATTTTTAAGCTAATTTTTGTACTTAAAGTGTACTTTTGATCTGAAAACACATTTCTTTCTTTAATTTGGAAAGTTCTTAGTTATTCTCTCTTTGAGTATTACTTCTCTTTCACTCCCAACATTGCTTTCTTTTGGAGTTCTTTTTAATGTTGGAGCCCCAGTTTAAGTCTTCAAATGAAAGCTTTTTTTGGTCAAATTCTCATACCCAGTATTTTATTTTAGTTGATATCTATACCCATGGAATGTTACTTATTTTTAGATGAGGTGATAAATGGCAATCTAAACTAAATTATTCATTAGAATTGATAGAGATCTATCAATTTTTTTTTTCAATTTTTAAGAAAGTAAATGCTTAAATAATAAAAGATATATTTTATAATGTAAAGGGACATAATGAAGAATCTGAGTGTGATTGGGTAGGGAGGAGGGTTTTTAGGTGGTAGAAGCAGAAAAGTTATTAGTATCTGTGGAACAATAACCAGTAATAGATTCCAGTCTCTTATAGGGAGATCCCAAAGGAATAATGAATGAATGCTTTGAGTACCAAGCTTAACACAGTTTTCACCTCTGAGCTATATTCACTAGGGCATTCTTGTGAGAGATAAACATTCTGCTGTCATTAGAGCTTTAGAGGACTCCTGTGGTATAGTCTCCATTGTGGAGGGAAAAAAATCTTCTCTTTTGTTTCCCATTCTTTCCCCACACCCCAACTCAAGTGAAAAGATGAAAATTTATAAAAACCTTACTCTAAAATCTTTGATAAAGCAAAGAAAGTTGTATAATGTTTGGTTGATCATTCATTATATGTAATATTTGCATTATAAAAGTAATAGTTAACATTTTTTGAGAACAAACTGTGCAAGGTGCTGCTTGTCATTTTACATATATTCTATCATTTATTCACATCAGGTCTGAAACTTAGTATAATCTTCCCTTGTTGTCATAGATGTTGAGGCTTAAGTCAAGTAACTTGTCCCCAATCTCATAATAGTAAATGATGGGACTAGTGTTCAAACCCATGTCTCTGAGACTCCAAAATCTGATTTTTTTCAAAATAACGTACTACTTCCTTGATATGGGGATTATTTTGGGTTTTTTTGTTGTTTTTTTTGTTTTTTTTGTTTTGCGGTACGCGGGCCTCTCACTGTTGTGGCCTCTCCCGTTGCGGAGCATAGGCTCCGGACGCACAGGCTCAGTGACCATGGCTCACGGGCCCAGCCGCTCTGCGGCACATGGGATCTTCCCGGACCGGGGCACGAACCCGTGTCCCCTGCATCGGCAGGTGGACTCCCAACCACTGTGCCACCAGGGAAGCCCTATTTTGTTTTTATAGATCTGGCCCAGCAGCTTAAATGTAAAGCCAGATTTGGGGGTTTTTCCCCCGTAGGTTCTCATTTATTTTTTAATTTAATTTAATTAATTAATTTATTTTTTGGCTGTGCCAAGTGGCATGCAGGATCCTAGTTCCCCAACCAGGGATCAAACCCAGGCCCCCTGCATTGGGAGTGTGGAGTCTTAACCACTGGACCGCCAGGGAGGTCCCCCAGATTTTGTTAATCCTGGGGCAAGGGTACTGCCCCTAAATGTATTTGGCCGATGATGATGTGCAGGTGAACATGGCTTTCAGTCATAAAGTTTCTGGTTTTGTGGGGAAGTCTTCCCTTCACTTGTGTTCCCTACTGTCAGCGTAGCTTCCACTTCACTCAAGGATTCTATGTTCCATCATTGAACTGTTCTGCAAATAGACTCTATTTTTCAAGGAAAGTAAGCATTTAACTTCTCTGATTGCGATTTCTGTATTTGCTGTTCTTTCTTTCAGAGGCATCAAAGGAAGCTTGCACATGTCTAGTGAACAAATCTGCTGTTACATTATTGAACAGCTCTTGTCATGAAGTTCTTTTGTAGTTCTAAACTGAGGAGAATGTCTCCTTAATGAAGGGTGATTTGTTGCTGTTTCATTCAGAAAATATTTGAATTAGAAAGTGCTTAGTTAAGAGCATTTGCAACTAAAAAACAAAAAACCTGCCTAATATGAATTTAAATAAACCCTAAGTTGTTTATGTTTCATATTTGTCTCAACCAAAAATAGAATAAATCCTGTCTGTTTTACTACTTTCTCCATAAATTTTCTTCCCTTAATATCTCATGTATATAGTTGTACTTAATGTCTTAATTCATTATGTTCATGAATTGAATTTATTTACTCAATGGGATTGTAAGCTCTGTGAGAACAGGTACCTAATCTTAACATTTTTTTTGTGACATTTGAGGCAATAATTTTTATACTGAGACCTCTAAAGTAATTCATACAGTAAGTTTAATCTAAAGGAAGGCATCAATATTTTTGGCTTTTAGCCAGACAAACTAGAATGTGATAATACAAGGTATTTTATGCTCACCAGAAGCCCTGATAAAATTGGAAAACAAGTGTTCATTTAATAAATGCCATTTATTTAAAAACAACTTTATAAATATGTGTCTTTCATAGTGAAAGGTTGGGAATTATTGTTTGGTAGTGTCTGGCCCAGTGCTGATAATAATGATTATTAAAAATATGATTGATTTATTGATGGTAATTAATGAACTTTTTTGTTTTAGGGAATGTTGTAGGCAACTTGGGACATTCCTTCTTCAGTCAAAGTTTCCTTGGCAGTAAAGAACATGGCGGATTCTTATATGTGACATCTACTTACCAGTCACTGCAAGACCTAGTACTCCCAACCCCACCTTACTTGTTTGGGATTCTCATCCAGAAATGGGAAACTCCTTGGGCTAAAGTGTTTCCCATCCGACTAATGTTGAGACTTGGAGCCGAATATCGACGTAAGTATAAAATACCCTCTTCTAAGCATTATGACCAAGACGTAATGACTAAACAGACTTGAGATATTCAGAGAGCCCCATGGTGATAAAATTAAACGGAAGTATTCTTTTGGAATAGCTAAGCTAAATTTGGCCAGTGTCTCTACTTATTTTGGCTATAATGGGAAGAACTCAAAATAACATTATTGCCTTGTAAAATTACTGGTTTTATAGGTTAATTGATAGATACATGATCATCTTCAGAAAAAATGAATATCAACAAGTAACTTTATTTTTTATAGTATCTGTATATGGTAAGTATATTTTTTGTCACTTGGTTAGAAAATAGTTATGACAAATTATATTTTATATAATGTAACAGATACTGGAAGCTAGTGGTATAGAGATCACTCTCAGCTGGTAAAGTAAGCAACAAAAGAGCCTCCTTGCCCTTGGCCATAGCAGTGCAACTAAGCTGTGATTGTTTTTAAAGATATTAAGGCCTAAATGCAAGCTTTATTTTATTTTATTTTGTTATTATTTTATTTATTTATTTATTTTTGGCTGTGTTGTCTTTAGTTGCGGCACGCGGGATCTTTCTTTGCAGCACACGGGCTTCTCTCTAGTTGTGGCTAGCAGGCTCCAGAGTGCGTGGGCTCAGTAGTTGTGGCACATGGGCTCCAGAGCGTGTGGGCTCTGTAGTTGAGGCATGCAGGCTCAGTGCTTGCAGCACGTGGGCTTAGTTGCCCTGAAGCATGTGGGATCTTAGTTCTCTGACCAGGGATCGAACCTGTATCCCCTGCATTGGAAGGCAGATTTTTAACCACTGGACCACCAGGGAAGTCCCATGCAAGCTTTATTTTAAACTTTATATCTTTTCCTAATCAACGTTGCCCTGGTCTAGGAATCAGACCACTTGAATAACGTTCTTAACTCTGCCATTTACTAGCTCTGTAACTTTGGGTGAAGTCATTCAAGTTGTCTGATTGTCAGTTTCCTTTGCAACTGGAGATAATAATACTTGCCTTTTATATTGCATGGTATTATTAAGAGGATCAAATGAGATCATTAAAAATTATTTTATCAAACATAAAACAGTGTATTATATGTTTTCAGCAGGTCACCTTCAGTCTTTCACTTATTTATTCATTCATTCAACAAGAATTTAATAAAGGCCTACCATGTGTAATAAATCCGGAATTCAGAAATGGCTGAGACGTGGTTATAGGCTCTTGGGAACTTTTGTAAGGAAGACGTAGAAATCATGATTATAGTAGTATATTATGTCAAAACACATGTTCAAAGTTAACAGAGTTCTTTGGGAGTTCAAAGATGGACTCTAACTTCACCAAGAATGAAGGACCAAGGTACCTCTGGACTGAACTGTGAAAGAAGCATATGAATCAGCTAAATGAAGTAGGGAAAGGAAAGGATTGTGTGCAGAGGAAAAACATTTGTATTTTCCTGTGTTGTACAGGCAGTTGAAACCGTAAAGTTCGAGGAGTGAGCCAGCTAATAGGATCACCTAGTGTTTGGCTTGTCTAAGGAGGGTTCTGAGTCAGAAATGTGTAAGAGTGAACTCTTTTAGACTTCCTGAGCACAGAGGAATCAGGAGATACTTGTTTCCTAGAATATATTAATCCAGTTTGGAAAAGAGTGCTTCTTAAGACATGTAGTTCATTTTTGAAACAGCTGCATCAAAAGACTGGTGTGGTTTGTAGAAGGCTCCAAATTTGTCTGTGATGCTGTTATGGTAAATACTTTCTGAGCCCTAAATTTTATGCTCTAATGAGTCATTACAATTATATTTTGAGAACTCTATGAAACGTGATGTCTCTTTTACCAAAATTTTAAGCTGCCAAACTTAGTCTGATCATTTCTCATTTCCATAGTTTATCCTTGCCCACTGTTCAGTGTCAGATTTCGGAAGCCATTGTTTGGAGAGACGGGGCATACCATCATGAATCTTCTTGCAGTAAGTTGGGAATTTTTATTTTCTTTTTCCTTACTGGGGTTTGCATGAGAAGGAAGAGAAGGATTTTATTATTTTGTTAATACCCTGCTGCTTCACGTAGGTGAAGAGTTACTATAGGAAAAGAACAGAACATGTATGTTCTTTGGAAAGTATATGGAGGTTTGGAATGAAATAGTACAGGATTCTGGCTCTTGGTTATACACTAACTAAGTGACCTTGCAGGATTATTGTGAGTAGTTATACTTAAAGCACCCAGCATTATGTCTTCTTTTAATTTTAAGCCTGGCATCCTGATGGTGTCCCCTGTGTCTGTGTAGCTTACTGTTTTGCCAAAGATTGGTCAGAGATTGTGTTCAGATACCTCTACCCAGTAAGGCATCTATACTTTCTTAATGGATCTGCATGGACTGGGATTCAAACGTCATTCTTTTCTTTTCTGCTGGACTCGCTCATGTCTCCTCTGCACATGCACGGGCTCTAACCCTGTTGACCAAGAATGTTGCTTGGCTTGGGCCCGTTAAGGTCACTGCTGCACATGTGCACAGACTAAGGTCAGTCCTGGGTATTTGGAGAGTTTATGAAGTTCCCTATGTCTGTCTCATTCCCAGAACTTCTTGTTAAATCTCTCGCTAGTCTGCCTGCTCATTACTTGCTCCAAATAGGCTAGCATCCTCAGGCTAACAGGGCCACTGGTCCTAGCCACTGAGATTACCACTTTAACTGAGACACTCCAAATCAAGCAAGATCCTTCAAGCAGCAAAGCTTATTGTTTTCACAAACTACCTTGCCCTGGCTGAACTATGAACAGGGCTAAAGGCAGCCCCAGGCAAGAAAATCACAGATTCAACTCTATTCTTCTTACTTGAAGTTCAGTAGTTTTTATGAATGAACACATCTCAGTGTATTGTATGTCTTTGGTCTAATTCCAGGGCACTGAAATGGGTTTTTTTGTTTGTTTGTTTTGTTTTTTTTTAATAAATCTACCCAACTGTTTAGTTGCTTTTGGGAGACTTGTTTATTTCCTCACTGTCATGCGATTGTAGTTATAGTTCCAGTTATCTTTTAAAGAGATGTAAACTAAGAAAGCTTCTTGTAGGTTTACCCATGTAGTTGCCATTTCCAGTGCTTTTCATTCCTTTGTATAAATCTGTATTTCCATCTGGTGTCATTGTCCTTCTACCTGAAAGATTTCCTGTAATGTTTCTTATAGTGTGGATTGGCTGGTGGTGAATTCTTTTAGCATCTGTATTTCTAACAACGTCCTTTGTATTTGAAAGATGCTCTTGCTGGATGTAGAATTCTAGGCTGACAGTTTAATTCTTTGAGAATTTTAAAGATTTGCTCTATTGCCTTCCAGTTTGCATTTTTTCAGATGAGAAATATGTTTTCCCTCCTTTGTTCCTGTCTACATAATGTTTTACCCTTCTCTCTTTGCTTTGAAAGTTTTCTTTTTATCACTGTTTTTGAGCCATTTGATTATGTGCCTTGGTATAGTTTTTTTCCATGTTGTTTCTTGTGCTGGGGTTTTCTGAGCTTCTTAGATCTGTGGGTTTATAGTTTTCATCAAATAATTGTTCTGTCCACCCCTCCTCTCCTTCAGGGACTCCATTGTTAATAGACTTATTAGCCTGCTTGAAATTGTTTCACAGCTCACTAATGCTCTCTTTTTTTTTTTTTTTAAATTTATGGCTGTGTTGGGTCTTCGTTTCTATGCGAGGGCTTTCTCTAGTTGCGGCAAGTGGGGGCCACTCTTCATCACGGTGTGCGGGCCTCTCACTATCGCGGCCTCTCTTGTTGCGGAGCACAGGCTCCAGACACGCAGGCTCAGTAATTGTGGCTCACGGGCCTAGTTGCTCTGCGGCATGTGGGATCTTCCCAGACCAGGGCTTGAACCCGTGTCCCCTGCATTGGCAGGCAGATTCTCAACCACTGCGCCACCAGGGAAGCCCACTAATGCTCTCTTTATGTCTTTTTCAGTGTTTTTTTTTTTCCTCTGTATGTTTCATTTTGGACAGTTTTTTTTTATTGCTGTGTCCTCAAGTTCACTAATGTTTTATTTTTATTTATTTTTTTCTGAGTTGGAACTTTTTAATTTTTTTAACATCTTTATTGGAGTATAATTGCTTTACAATGGTGTGTTAGTTTCTGTTTTATAACAAAGTGAATCAGCTATACATATACATATATATATCCCCATATCCCCTCCCTTTTGCATTTCCCTCCCACCCTCCCCATCCCACCCCTCTAGGTGGTCACAAAGCACTGAGCTGATCTCCCTGTGCTATGTGGCTGCTTCCCGCTAGCTATCTGTTTTACATTTGGTAGTGTATATATGTCCATGCCACTCTCACTTCATCCCAGTTTACCCTTCCCCCTCCCTGTGTCCTCAAGTCCATTCTCTATGTCTGCATCTTTATTCCTGTCCTGCCCCTAGGTTCTTCAGAACCTTTTTTTTTTTTTTTAGATTCCGTATATATGTGTTAGCATACAGTATTTGTTTTTCTCTTTCTGACTTACTTCACTCTGTATGACACACTCTAGGTCCATCTGCCTCACTACAAATAACTCAATTTCGTTTCTTTTTATGGCTGAGTAATATTCCATTGTATATATGTGCCACATCTTCTTTATCCATCCTTCTGTCGATGGACACTTAGGTTGCTTCCATGTCCTGGCTATTGTAAATGGAGCTGCAGTGAACATTGTGGTACATGACTGTTTTTGAATTATGGTTTTCTCAGGGTATATGCCCAGTAGTGGGATTGCTGGGTCATATGGTAGTTCTATTTTTAATTTTTTTAAGGAACCTCCATACTGTTCTCCATAGTGGCTGTATCAATTTACATTCCCACCAGCAGTGCAAGAGGGTTCCCTTTTCTCCACACCCTCTCCAACGTTTATTGTTTGTAGATTGTTTGATGATGGCCATTCTGACTGGTGTGAGGTGATACCTCCTTGTAGTAATCTTTTATTTTGCAGTACTTAAACTGCCATTGATTCCATCCTTTTTCTTTTTTCCTGTAATTTCAGCCATTGTAATTTTCATTTCTAGAAGTTTGACTTGGGTCTTTTTCTATATCTTCTGTGCCTGTACTTAACTTTTTAAACATATGGAATATAATTATAATAAGTATTATGATGTCCTTGTTTGGAAATTCTAACATGTGTTTCATTTCTGACTCAGTTGCCATTGATTGATTCCCCCCCACCCCCAGCATTTTGAGTTGTATTTTCCTGCTTCTTTGCATCCTTGGTATTTAAAAAAATTTTTATTGGATGACAGATATTGTGATTTTACCTTGCTGGATGCCAGGTATTTTTACGTTCCTATAAAAATTCTTGCGTTTGGTTACAAATAACACAGTTAATTTATCTAAAAAATAGGTTGATCCTTTTGAGTCTTGCTTTTAAGATTTGTAAGGTGGAACCAAAGTCTTGTTTAGTATAGGGCTGATTATTCCCCACTACTAAGGCAAAACCCTTCTGAGTACAGCTGACCCTTGAACATCGCTGGTTTGAACCGTGAGGGTCCACTTACACATGGATTTTTTTTCGACAGTAAATACTACCTTACTACTTGAGCCATTCTTGGTTAAATCCTCCAGTGCAGAACCACGGATATGGAGGGCCGACTATAATTTGTACATGGATTTTTTTTTTTTTTTTTTTTTTTTTTTTTTTTTTGCGCGGTATGTGGGCTTCTCACTGTTGTGGCCTCTCCCGTTGCGGAGCACAGGCTCCGGACGCGCAGGCTCAGCGGCCATGGCTCACGGGCCCAGCTGCTCCGCGACATGTGGGATCTTCCCGGACTGGGGCACGAACCCGTGTCCCCTGCATCGGCAGGCAGACTCTCAACCACTGCGCCACCAGGGAAGCCCTGTACATGGATTTTTGACTGCACAGAGGGCGTCAGTGCCCCTAACCCCCACATTGTTCAGAGCTCAGCTATATTTGTAATGACTTTTGGTGTTATCTGGAATTAAGCCAAACTTCACAGATTAAAAGCACAGTCCTTCACAAGACTGCCATTACTTCAGATGCTAGCTGCAAGTTCAGGGGTCCCCAGACCTCCCACGGTTCTGACTAACTAGATACAAGTGTGGGAGATCCCACTAACCCGTCAGGGTTGATAATTTACTAGAATGATTCATAGAACTCAGCAAAGTACTATGCAGTTAACCCTTAAACAACAAGGCTTGAACTGCTCAGATCCACTTATACGTGGATTTTTTTCAATAAATGTGTACTACACAGTCCATGCTTAGTTGAATCCACAGATATAGAACTGCACTTCAGAGAGCTGAATGTAATATTATACATGGATTTCCAACTTTGCAGGGGTTGACGCCCCAACCCCCATGTTATTCGGGGTCAACTGTACTTATGATACAGTTTTATTATAACAAGGGAGATATAAATCAGGAGCAGCCGATAGAAGAGACACGTAGTGCAAGGTCTGGGAGGGTCCCAAACAAGAAGCTTCTTTGTCTTCAGGAACATGTCACTTTCCACATACATTGATGTGTAACAATACATATGGAATGAGCTCCTAGGCATCTGTGTCCTGAGTTTTTATTGGAGTTTCCCTACAAGGCCTGATTGATTGAATCACCAGCTGTGTGGTTGAACTCAGTCTCCAGCCCCGCTTCGGCACTCGGCAGAAGTCAGGCTGATATCACGTGCCTCAGAGCCCCAGCCTCTCATCACATGGTTGATGTTTCTGAAATGGCCAGCCGCCACCCCGAGTTATCCTTTTAGCATCAGTGTCATCAAACTGACATAGACTCTCAGAGTGTGCCAGGAATAACAAAGGCACTCATATCACTCAGGAAATTCCATGGGTTTAGAGGTTACCTCCCAGGAACCAGGGGCAGAGGTCAGCCAAATTCTTTATTATACAGTAATACTTTACCCAGTGCCCATGAATTATGAGCTTTTTCTATCTGGGTTTTGGGAATAGGCACTATTCTCAGACCTGTGTAACAGATATGCTCCCAATAATCATTTCAGGCTTTCTTTCACTAGCCTCAAGAAGTTTCCTCACACACATTTGCTAATTAGAACACTGCTATTCTGATGGGACCCTGTGTGAACCTTTGGAGTTCTCTCTCTGCAGTTTTCTCCTCTCTGTCCTGTGAACTCTAGCTACCTTGATTTTTTTCTCGATTTTCAGTTTTGTCTCCTCAACTCAGGAAGTCTGCCAGCCTCTTCCTGGGTTCCCGCTTCCTGCATCTGAGCTTGGAAACTCTCCTAAAGCATAAGCTGGGCAGTCATAGAGCTCATCTTGTTTGTTTCCTGTCTCTCAAGGACCACTGTCCTTCGTTGTCTGAAATTTGGTGTCTTGGCGATCATTGTTCCATGTGTTTTGTGTGAATTTTGGTCGTTTAAGGCAGAAGGCTAAATCCAGTCCCCTTTTCTCCATCTTGGCCAGAAGTGAAATTTTTTAAATTATATTTTAATCTATAAGATCTCTCTCTCTATTCTTCTATTCCAACCCCCATCCCTTTGTCCCTCCTTGGTAACTTTAGTTTTTAGTCACATTTTTGACAAGATAGTTTTTCTTTCAGATTGTAATCTATTTTGGAATGAAAAGGAGATATTTATCCTGTAATCAAGCAACAGCAGCCTAAGGTTTTTATGGCCTATCTCAATTCATTTTTACAAATATTTATTGGATTATCTACTGAAGCATCTCACTCTACATCATCACTTCCTCCCTATTTTACTGGGATTTACAACCTATTGATTTCAACACCTTTTCACTGTTTCTCACTCCTCCGGCTTTTCTGTTTATCTACGTTAAGATTCCATGGTTTAATCATTAAAATCACTTTTTTACATAATTCTAGTTCTTTTATCGCTTTTACCCTGTGTTGTGGTAGCCTGGCAAAATGTAAACCCTGATTAAATCTACCTCTTTGTTTAAAATTATTTTTTTCAATTTATGTATGGTAAAATCCACCTTTTTTGGAGTACATTCCAAGAGTTTTGACAGTGTATACAGTTATGTTACTACCACTGTCACAATCAAGATACAGAACAGTTCCATCACCAGAAAATTTGCTGGTGCACCTGTAATGTCTGGCAACCATTGAACCTTTGTCCCTATAGTTTTAGTTTTTTCAGACTGTCCTATAATGGAAATTATACAGCATGTAGCCTTCTTAATCTGGCTTCTTTTACTTATCATAATGCATTTGAGATTAATCTGTGTTGTTATATGTATTGTTGGGAAGGAAATAAAATCTTTTTCTTCTACTCATCTCAGGTTCTTCAGCTGGGGCCCTCTAAATTAGACTGGCCAAAGACTGATTAACAAGAGGCATATTTAGGGGTACTATATTCTGGTACCCTTCAGTATCAATAGGTCATTCATTTTTATTGCTGAGTAGTGTTGTATTGTATGTATGAACTACAGTTTATTCATTCACCTGTTGATGCATATCTGGGTTTCTAGTTTCTGGCGACTGGGAATAAAGCTGCTATAAATATCCATGTATTAAGTTTTGTGTGAATATTTAGTTTTCATTTCTGTGGGAGTGGGATAGTTGAGCCATATTGTATGTTTAACATTATAAGGAACTGAAATTGTTTTATAAAATGCCTGCAGTATTTTGCATTCATCAGGTATAAGGATCCTTTTTTTTTGGCCAGTACTCATTATTTCTCCTTTTTGGTTTTTAATTTTTGTCATTCTAATAGGAGTCTAGTGATTTTAATTTTTTTGATTTTAATTTGTATATTTCCTGTGATGAATGATTTAGAGCATCTTTCATTTGCTTATTTTGTCTTCTTTATATCTTTAGTGAATGTTCAGATTTTTTCAACTGTTCATATTTTAAAAATATGGTTGTTGTTTTCTTATTGTTGAGTTTTGAGAGTATTTCATCTATTCTGAATGTAAGTCCTTTGGTAGATTTGTATCATTTAAAAATATTTTCTCCCAGTCTGTAATTTATCTTTTCATTCTCTTAACAGTGTCTTTCACAGAACAAAAGTTTTTAATTTTGTTGAAGTCCAGTTTATTAATTTTTTTATGGAGTGTTCTTTTTATATCATATCTAAGAACTTATTGACTGAAACTTATATCACAAACATTTTCCTCCATGTTTTCTTCTAAAAAGTTTGTAGTTCGGGATTCCCTGGTGGCGCAGTGGTTGAGAGTCCACCTGCCGATGCAGGGGACATGGGTTCATGCCCCGGTCCGGGAAGATCCCACATGCCGTGGAGCGGCTAGGCCCATAAGCCATGGCCACTGACCCTGCACGTCCATTGCCTGTGCTCCGCAACGGGAGAGGCCTGCGTACCGCAAAAAAAAAAAAAAAAAAAGTTTGTAGTTTTAAGTTTTATATTTAGGTCAGTGATCCATTTTTAGTTAATCTTTATGATTGTTAGGCATTGTTTGAAGTTCTTTTTTTTTCCCACTTGTATGTCCAGTCATTTCAGTATCATTTGTCATTTACTTGCCTTTGCACCTTTATCAAAAGTCAGTTGATTATACCTGGTTGGATCTAATTCTTCCTTCATTCTTAACTTACATCCAAGCTTAAATATGAGTGAAGACAAAAAGAGTAGCATACTCACCGGTCTCATTTTAGATTCATGACCAATACCATTAAGGAAGCTCTTGGACCTACCTGGCAATCCTTCCTGGTCCATAATACATTCCTACTTCCCTAGATGACTATTTGCATGTGATCTCTTCTCAAATTTCCAGTGCCTCCTCTCCTTTCCTCAGTTTCAGCTGATGGCTTAGCCCAATTTCCCTGAGTGAATAGAAGCAATCAGAAGATAATTTTCACACAGTTCCATCCAGCAACTTACTAATATCTACACGTTTTCTTTTCTTAGCCTCCAGGACACCGTTCTTTCTTGGTTCTTCTCCTGCAGTCTTCTGACTTCCCCTTCCTATCATATTCTACATCTCAGTAAATGGCAGTTCCTGTCTTCAACTTGCCCAGGCCATGAAATTCAGAGTCATCTCTTTTTTTTTTTCACATTCCAGATCCAACCTAAGGGCAAATATTGTCCTTTTTCCCTTCAAGATATATTTAGAGTTTGATAACTTCTCACCATCTTTTGAACTGTTCACATCTTGGTTCAAGTTATCACTGTCTTTTGCCTGGATTATTTTTATTATGCTTATCTGATATCCTTTCTTCTATTCTTGTTCCCTTCCATCTATTCTTTACAGAGAAAGTCAGAGAGATCCGTCAAAATAGGTCAAAAGCCTTCTCAAAGTTAAGGCAAAGGTCCTTGTGGTGACCTGCCAGACCCTATGAAATCTAGCTGCGTGCTATCACTTTGATCTCAACTCCTACCATTCTTGCTCATTTTGCTTCAGCCACATTAGATGTGGAGTATATATGCGTGCATGTTTTACTCTACAGGTATTCATTTAGTCCCCAGGATGTTCCAGGCATTTGGGATGTAACAAGAACAAAACAAGTGAGCATCCTCACCCTATTGGAGCTTACCTTAGAGGGAGGAGATAGTTAAATAAATACAGAAAATGTTAGGTGGTGACAAAGCAGGGATAAACATTCAAATATTTGTTTAATATTGTATATAAAGGGTATGTGAAACTTTTTAGTCTGCTTCTTTGTAAGAGTTTACAGACTAATCAGAGAGTAGAATATACACAATGGGGCTTTCATTATACATTTTCTTATTATTTAAATGAATGAGATCTTTTAATTTTGACATTCTTTTTATTTATGCTCATTTTATAACTATAAATTAAATCCTGCCATTGATGAATTCTTTCTTCCACTTCAATCTGGTTTTGCCCAGGACTTTAGAAATTACCAGTATACATTGCCAGTAGTTCAAGGTTTGGTGGTTGATATGGAAGTTCGGAAAACCAGCATCAAAATTCCCAGCAACAGATACAATGAGGTAAGATTTCCCATGAATTTTTCATAATTGAATATCATAAATGAAGATGAGAAATACATGATTACATGTAAAGTTTTAGTTAATCGACAGTGAAATCAGTTCATAATATTATATGACTTAGATCAGTGATAGGGAATTCCATAACAGAAAGACAAAATGTTAAATTCGTGATTTATGTAGTCTTTGCTTGTGTCATGTGTTGTGTTTTGACCTTTTGATGCTGACAGTCAGTGACAGATTTGCTTTTTGAGGTATAAAATTAACTTTATAATATTTATTAGTGGTGGGATCTTTTATTTTTCCCTCTTTCTATAAGTATATGTTACTTTTAACTATACTTAATGTTTAATCATAGCTCACCTATAAGTCCCAAAATTATTTTTAAATAAGTTTTTGAAAGCAAATGTTTGCATTTTGAATTAAGCTGTATTTTGTAACTAAAATGAAATTGTGCATACTACACATAACAGAATTATGTAATAACTGTTCTTGCCTATTTGCCATGTGAAGTAGTACTTGAATTTAAAAATTTCTTAAAATGGGTTCTAAAGTGTTGGATAGTAATCATTGTGATTTAAAACAGAAAATCTAAAAATTAGTTTGATATAATGTTAAAATTTGTTGTTTTATTAGACAGGGTGATAACTCCACAGTTACTTCTTCCACCATATCTTGGTATAAAATAACTTCTTCCCTCCTTCTCTTTTTTCCTTTTCTTCCTTTCTTTTTTCCTTTCTCATTCAGCCATTTATTCACTTACTCATTTGTACATTCAATAAACATTTTATACTTGATATACACTTAAAATCACAGAAATGTCTTACTGGACTTTTAAGCTCAGGGCTCAGTATTATTATGTAGGAATGACCTATTTGAAGAAAACATTTACCCTGTGGCTTTCTGTCTGATGGCTTTTTTCAGGACACTAGAAAATAGTAGTTAGAATGTGTGCTTAATTTTTCCTGGGATACAGTTAGCTATTAGATAGTCCTACCTTGGAACCATGCTAAACTAGAGTCAAATCTTTAAAGAGAACTATTTTTATGTAATTTATGCCCTAAATAGTTTTTAAAGGAGGCTATGCTTTGAAAACTTGTTTTATTTCCCATATTTGAAATGTTACTATCTATTTCACAAACGTCTATTAAATATATTCCGTGATATGATACAAAGATGAATCAGACATTTTGCCTGCCTTCTGGGAGCTTATTGCCAGAAGTGAGATGATCAGGTGTCAGCTCCAAGTGGATAACATACATTGCTATCCTTGATGTTTACAAGATGGTACTTTGTGTTTGGTAATTAGATCTGTTTATACAAGTATATTTGTAAAAGCTTTGAGGCCCCCATAATTATTTCAGTACTTGACTGAGGACATTCATGACAACTGCCATTCATATTATCTGTCTTTATCTGAATTCTGCCTCCTAGGTTTATGGTTGTGCAGGTTCAGAAATCTTTATTCAAAAACAGTAACTATATTTCTTGTCATTTATTACATTTAATTTTCAATAAAGTTTACCAATTATATATCACTTATTTTTCTTACTTGATTTAGCAGACTGACTTCCCTTCTAATTCAATTTTTGTTTTAACTCAGTGTAATTTTATTTCTCATGATGTTGGACAGTTGAATTGTCTTGTGTCTAATAGTTGAAAAAGTAATTTCTTATACATTATTTCATTTAATCACCACAATAGTCCACTTTTCCTCTCATTCATTTTTCTTTATTTGTACCTTTAGTTTTTCTTATCACTCCCTGAACTATGTTTTCTTTTGTTTATAGCCTTTGCACAAGCTATTTTCTAATTGTTGCACTTCCCCTACTCTTCATTTGCATAACCCATACTCAATTTTCAGGTTTCAGTTTAAATGGCATTTTCTCAGATAGGCTTTCATTTTTCCACATATTTATTTCAGATAGGCTTTCATTTAATAACACACATTCTATATGTAATACTCACTATATTTGTAATTCCTTATTCAGTGTCTGTTTTCTCTACTAGACTTTTAGTTCCATGAGGGACTGTGTCTGTCTTGTTTACCACTGTATCATTAACAGTCTATCTAGTATAGAGTAATTGCACAAGAAATATATATTGAATGAAACAGAAATAAAATATAAACAACATAAAATGTAAAAACAAAATACAGATATATAAATAATATAAAAATAACTAAAAGATAAAGTAATATGGAAATAAGTGCTGAAACTTATCGGAAGTTTATTAAAGATTCAAAGAAGGGAGAGCTCTGATAAATGAAGCAGTCAGGAATTTGCTTTATGTCTAAATGAGCCTGAATCCCTAACAGCCAGAGCAGCACATTCCATGTAGATGTTTATAAACATTCATGTAAATGTAAATGAAGGAAAGATTTGAAATGGACAGTGAAGGATGTATAGGCACTATAAAGTGAAGGGTGGAAAATAAGTGAAAAGAGGGATAGATACCAGCCTAAACAAAAGGCAGGAAAGCACCAGGAATGGGCATGTCTGGTAGGGAGGATGGGAGATATCAACGTGCCTAGTGAAGAAGAGGCTAAAGGCGACTGGGAAATGAAGTTGTACAAAGAGACTGCTGGATATTCAGAGGTTTTCAGAAACCACACAAAGGAGTCTAGACTCTAATATGATAATTTGTAGAGATTTTACAGGTTCTAAAGCAGAAAAGTGAATTAACCAAAGTAGAATTTTAGAAAACTGAGTTTTGGCAGCTATATGTAAAATGTGGAGAGAGGAGGCCTCTAAGTGTCAACTGAAAAAAAAAAAGAAAAGCACAGCGTAAAAGTTGAGAATTATGTTTTATACAGTGGCCTTATTGAGGACTATAGCCCAGGATACAGCCTCTCAGATAGCTCTGAGGAGCTGTTCCAAAGAGGTAAGGGAGGAGCCAGGATATATAGGAGTTTTTGCTGGGAAAAAACAAAACAAAACATGTAGTTGAACATCAGAAGAGTACTGCTAATCATAAAAAAAACCAGACATCTCAAGTTAATGATTTTAGTGCTTTTCTATTTATGGGAAAATGCAAGAGTCAGGGCTCACTGAAATTATTCCTCAGACGGGCATCTTAACTCTCTAGGGCCAGTATCCTGTTTTTCTCCATCCTGATTTACCCTAAGGGTGCACTGTTGGTGGCAGGTGCAGTGGCTGATGACTTGATGATAGGCAACATTTGTTGTTTACCAGAATGGCAGGCAACATTCTTTGTTTACTGAAATGGCAGGCAACATTTTTTTCCATATAAGGAAAGACTTTAAGCTTAGAAAGCTAGAAGATAATATTTCTGAAGTAGTAATTTTAATAAATGAAGTAGTCATTGTATATAAATTTTTTTATCTCCTTCATCAAGGCCATGCAAGATCTCTGTTGGTCTAGGTAACGCTACTCATGTTCTTATGATGAGATTATTTTGATCATTGTGTTAACTAACATCTATTTAGGGTATATTATATATCAGGTACTATTCTAAGCATCTATGTATCTTCACACTATTTCTGTGAAATGAGTAGGGTAATTACCTTTTTACAGATGAGGAAATTAAGGCACAGAGCGAGCAAGTGTTGGAGCTAGAATCAAACCCAGACACTCTAATTCCAAACCCAGACACTCTAATTCTACTCTTAAACACTATACTAAACCGATTTTCATAGACATCAGTTTAATGATTACATCTGATTGTAGGGCTGACTATAGGGTCTTTACAGAGGTAAAGCCCTAATCCAGTATGACTTACAAGAAGGGGAAATTTGGACATAGATATGCATAAAGAGAAGGTGATATGAAGAGACATAGGGAGAAGATGGAAGTCAGGTCAAGTCCTTGACTCTGCAAGTCAAGGAGAGAGGTCTGGAACAAATCTTTCCTTTTACAGCCCTCAAATGGAACCAGCTCTGCTGACATCTTAATTTTGGACTTCTAGCCTCCAGAATTGTGAGACAATAAATTTCTATTGTTTAAGCCACCAGTTTGCAGTACTTTCTTATAGCAGCACTAGCACACTAACATAGCAGTCCACTGTAAATAGCTAAACATCAAGACAAAATATGTGGGGGGAAAATACAAAGGACAATGGGGCAGAGAAGGTGAGCCCTGTGATTACCCTACTTTACTGTCTGGAGTTTCCAGGCCATAGAGCAGTTAGGGGGGGATCCTAAACTGAGCCTAGAGGTCTCCCTGCATTGAAGACAGTGTAGGGAGGGCATGATGGCTAGAATTTACAAGACAGATTATGGAAATAAAAGAACTCTGGAGATCTGCAGGAGGTTCCTATTGTGTCTTCAGCTGATTACTAATCAGTGCATGTATGTGAGAAAAACACTGGAAAGGAGCAGGGAGAACAGTTCTCAGAGGTCCAGGAATAATTTGTATTCTTATGAGCTAGAGTAAGAAAGGGACAAATAATTCCTAAGGATCGAAGTTATCCATAAATTTGGGCTGCTCTGATCCTACCTAACAAGCTTAAAATAAAGCTTCAACAAGATCAAGGCACATACCTGTTAAGGAGAGACACAGAAAATATAAAAAAGACCCAAATCAAGCTTCAAGAAGCAAAAATGACAATGAGATGAAAAATACATTGGATGAGATTAATGGCAGATCAGACACTGCTGAAAAAATTTAATAAACTTTAAACAGCAATAGAACTACCCAAAACGAAACACAAAGAGAAAAGGCTGAAAAATTAAATGAACAGCACATGATTGAGATGCGGGAAGTGTTGGATGGCCTAACTCTGTAATTGAAGTCTCCAAAGGAGAGAAGTGGGTTGACAGAAAAGATATTTGAAGAATCAGTGATCAAAAATTTTATAAATTTAGGGGCTTCCCTGGTGGTGCAGTGATTGAGAGTCCACCTGCCAATGCAGGGGACACGGGTTCGTGCCCCAGTCCAGGAAGATCCCACATGCGGCGGAGCAGCTAGACCCGTGAGCTATGGCCACTGAGCCTGCGCGTCCAGAGCCTGCACTCCACAATGGGTGGGGCTGTGGCAGTGAGA